ATGGCGTTGGTTCAGGCAGAACAGCCGCCAGAGGGATCGTTCGAACCTCCCAAACTCACACGCCGCAACATTGGTGAGTACATCAAGGCTGATCCCAGTGGCTTACGCGAGACAGCGGCTTCGGTTCAGTACGGGATGCGTTGGGGCAAGGGTCTCGAGCAGATCAACGACGAGATCGAGAACTGCTTGAATTGTGACCGCCGACGTAGCCGGGAACGGCGTGCCCCTGCTATGATTGTGGTTTCGTATGCTGGCAACGACGTGTGGGGAAAACACGGCTTCGTCGGCAACACTTGGATCGACTCTCGGTCCGTGCGCCGCAATCCTGCAGTGTGCAGAGCCGCCTCGGAATGGCAGGACGAGCTAGCCCGCAAACACTTCGCCCAGCTGGAGCGGATGGCGTCCTTTCTCACGCGTCCTGACGTGGGTGCTATCTCCATCATTGCGTACGCCGATGCAAATAGCTTCGGGCTCCATCAGGACTTTGCCAGGCAAATGTGTTTGTTCGGTGATGCTGCTCAGAGCCGTGGTATTTTGGCAGTGACAGGTGCGGCCCTCACTCGTGCAACCACAAGGTACGACAACTTCCACGCTGAGGACACGACTAGCAATCGTACCGCGTACTACAGGTACTATATGTGGCGATGGCCCGCCTGACCTACCAGATGTGGAGGCTCAAGGACTGCGAGGCTTTGAGAAAACAAGCCCGAATACAACCTGTCATGTCCGAGAAAGATGTTAAAGCCCGCGCGGAAGCCGAGGCCAAAAACCAATACCGCGCTTCATATACGTTTTCTTCGAAAACGATCCCCGTTTTCCTGAGACTCGCATCATGATCGAGCCCAACCTTTGCAAGACCGCTGTGCATCCCGACGGTCACGAGGTTGCGCTCCTCGACGAGATCACGGGTGAGCATCTGAGGGCTACTCCAGAAGAGCTCGAACGAGCAGGCATCATGGTGCCCCAGGGAACTGGAGAGCCGGCGGATGAAGTAATCACGTCGCCCGAGAAAGATGCAGACGCAGACGAACCTGTAGAGGATGAATTCGTTCCAGACTATGATCCCGATGATGAACCTCATCCTAAGCAAAAGACGACTCTGCTTGCTGAGCCAACGTACTGGCGCTTGCCCTGACGAGAACATCATGAGCGCCAATGCCGGCAAGCGTGTCGCTTGGGATTCCATCTCGAGGGTTGAGATTGCAGAGACGGACCTTCGCGAGAGATCCGACATCGATCAGCCAGTGGAGACTGTCGATGAGATCATTGAGATTGTGGGTGAGCATTACCACACTGCCATCGCTGAAGGATACCAGGACCCGCAGGACGACGCCCTTGAATCCGATGACGAAGAGATTGTTTTCAATCAACAGATCGTCGGGGGTTCAAGCGCGCTGGAAAGCGTTGCCGAAAAGATGAAGTTCAATAATAAGATCTATGCAGCCCAATACCTTGAAGGCGGAGCATTGCATCTTTCAAGGAACCCACATGGTGCAATCGCTATGTCCAGCAATGCGTTGCGTCGCTACACTGAGGCAGTGACGGGCAGGTCCATTCCTCTTCTTTACCTCGACGACGATGGAGATGACGACGATGATCTTCCGCCTCCACCACCTCCGGCGGAGCCTTGCCCCTACAAGAAGGACAAGGGCGGCATTCATCGTCCCGTGGCCGAAGATCTTCCAGCCTTGAAAAGGAAGACCGCCGTTGATCTGGGGGCGGCACCTAAGGCGAAAGCGGCGCCTGACAGCCTCAAGAAACTCCGCAGTGGGGACAAGGTCATCAACGTTGACATGTCCAGCTCGGCGGAAGCCAGAGCCGAGAAGAGCTCATCAGAGGTTATGGACGTCGATATGGAAGAGGCAGCGGGAGCATCATCATCATCGGCCAATCCACCAAAGGCAAAACCCATGCCAAAGCCTTCATCCGCGCCCAAAGCCGCAGCATCAAGCTCCGCGGCCCCCCGGAAGGGATGCGCCCACTGTGGTACCAGCAGGTGGAACTCCGATTCGCACATCGATGCCGGCCAACCAAGTGCCTGGAGCTGCTGTGATCGGATGGTATGATCAGGAGCAGTTCTTTGTATCGAAGCGTGTCTCCGGCCTGCTGCGTGGACACAACCACGCCAATCGACGTGACCGCATTCCACTTCCGGATTTTCAGGATGGGGCCTGGATGGACTTCGCGTCGGTGTTCTCTTTCATCAAGAGGAGGTATTCCCGATCCCTCACAGTATCGGACTTGATTGACATCGTGACCTCAAACCATAGGTTTATGCTCGATGTGCAACTTGCCCGCGAGCTCTTCGCCGGGAAATACCGTTTCCTGCCGGTGCGAATCAAGGCGATTCAATCTCACAACGACTGGATTCTGGAGAACGTCAACATGGCGTGGCCTGAAATCGACAGGATCATCTGTCTTGATCCGTCTTTCACCATCGAACGCCTGTTGCGAAGGGAGCATCCAACGCTCCCAGTGCGACTTGACCTGCGCATCAAAGATGTTCACCCCAAGATTTTGTACCACTACACTCACATCGCTATCGTGGATGATGTGATCAGGCGTGGCATTTGTCCGGGGGGACTCAGGACTAGCAAGGCTCATTCGTACTTTTCGGCATTCGATCCATGGAGCATCCAGAAGACGAATCAGGCAGGGATGGCTTCGACCAGGCCCGTTGCCATTGCCGTGGACGTTGAGATGGCGGTCGCATATGGGATCAGGCTCGCCGTCGCTCAGAGCCAGGCTATTATTGTGACATATTGTCACTACTGATTGGGTGCCAAATCAGTTCCTCATCTATGCATATGACACGTCAGCAAAATGCTTCATATATGCGAACCATGACTATGCGAAGGAGAGAGCCTCGTTCAATCAGGATCTCCGAGACATCGTTGTGCGTCGCCGGGAACGGCTTGACCGTGGTGAGGAAGCAGACGACAATGCAAGGAAGCAGTCGTTGCTGGCAAGGTCAAGATGGGACCTGTTCGGCAAGTATGAGAAATGGGTGCATGGAGCCTGGGTGGAAAATGCTTTCATCCTCGAGTCGTACAACCGTGAGTTTTGCAAGGATCAGCTCGAGCATGCAGATGCCAATGTCGGAACCTATACTACTCCGTACATGGCGATTGCATGGCAGCCGGAAGGCGATGCCCCGAACAACTCGGCATGGCCTTTGTCGCTGGGATCCGTGGACTGGGCGCATTGGACTCCCGAGATGGAGATGCGCTATGATCCTCGAGGCAATGAGAAGTTCTTCACATCACGGTGGATCACTGTTCGTCAGCATGACGTCGACCCGCAGTACTGTGCCGACTGCAATGCCGATTCACCATTCGGATGTTTGTCGTGCTTGAACTGTGGGCGACTCGCACGTGCGACAGATTTGAGAAAGGCTTCACTCCTTGTCCGTCTTGAAAACTTAGCCGCGAGCTTCGGTTTCGATTTGTCGTTGGACATGTTCCCAGATGACGACATTCGTGCCCGGGGAGACCGTGGGCTGAGGAATCCTGCAGGTGGTAGGGTCAGGACTGGACAGTCAGCCATCGCGACGATCCGAGCACATGCCAAATCGCACACGGACAAAGCCTCAAAATTGGAATTTGGCTCGCTCACAGAGCGGTTGTGCTTGGATCCGTTCTACGCGTTCAACTGCGCGGCGCAGGACATGTCCCCTGACTGTTTAAAATTTCTCCAACGACTCAGTTCAGCGGTATTGCCCATTCCAACGCGTACCGCACAACAAATCCAAGATGGGGTAGGCGTCAATGTGAAAGCAAAGATCCTTATGATCCCCGACACATCTCAGCGCGAGGTCGACGTGTCGAATGAGGTCTTTGTGTTCTGGAAGAACAAGATCCTACGCCCTGGTGTCTTTGTTGGACTGTACTCGATGGAGACCAATCGTTTCGAAGTCTTGGGATTTTCTGGCTCATTCCTCTCGGAAGAGAAGGACGTCGAGAAGCTCAAAACGGAGTTCGTCAGCTGGTTGTCTTCGGACCTCCAGAGCATCCCGTCTTACGAGAATCTCGTACGTGCAGACCCGAGGAGTATCAACGTGCCGGAGAGGGAAGGCGTCGATCGCACCAAGGGAAAAGGAAAGGGGTCATGGCGTCACGCCGGTCGTCCAGCTTGCGAGAATGCTCCTTACCCCAGGAATCGATGGGCACGAGACTGGAGAGACCTAGACGATGACGTTGGCACCATTCCTGGCTGGCATCATGCAGATTGGACATGGTACCAAGACACGTATGGAGCAGATTGGTGGCGACAGGGGCGGTGAGAGCCACTTATGCACGGCGGGAGCCGGTGCCATTCGGTAGTTGCGCATTTCAGGTTACTCAGTGTATGTTGTCGCACTTTGCCATGATTGGTGCCATAGAGCTCTCCAATGCTCTAGCACGCCCTGCGGAAGCAGAAGCCTCACGTTGACATTTTTTGAGGCTGTCCGCATTCTTTGCTAGACTACAATTCAATTTGCCGAAGTGCACTGTCTTCCAAAAGGGAAGCATCGGTCAGCATGCCGCGTGGAAACGTGTGCCTACGTAAGAGGCCCATTTTCACTTTTGACGAGCTGTGGATGCATGTGAAAAGCGCTGTGTCCGATTTGCAATCGTCCATTCGGCAGTTGACTTTCGATCCTAGTTGAGTTAATCGTTCGTTCCATCGCGCCTCAGGTCGGCAAAGAATCTATGAAAGCCGTAGGCGCGTTCGGTGTTGACCGCAAGGGATACACCGGGGAACCGGAGGTCAGAGAGGTATGCACGTTGTCCCGTGTACAAAGTCGTGTACAGATTACTTCGCTACCTTTGCTGCCAAGTGCGTTCAGCGGGGGGTGTATTTGCACGATTGTACACCTGTACATTACCATATTGACCTCTATGTTTGGCTCAAGAAAAGGGCGCTCTACATGTTGGTACTTGTAGGCTGTTGGCCTGTAAATTCAGTAAATGCTTGAGTCAACACGCTCGTGCCTGTGGCAGACTTGGAACGGCCTTGAGGTCTATGGTCATAGACATTGGGCCAGCTTTGCTTAAAGCCAAAGAGACCGTCAATGAAGGTGTGGAAGACCGAGCTGGCGTGTACACAACTGATGTCAAGCAGAGTTCAAGCCTGTACTGTTTCGGTTGGAGTCAATGAATATGCCGCGCCTACCAACTTCTGCAAGATAAGAAGGGGCACGGGTTTGACCGACCTTGTGATCATGCAAGACCTGTGGGGACATCGGAATCTTTCATTGTGGGTCTCTCTGAAGTCTCTCTCTCTCTCTCTCTTTTTGTACAGGCTAATATACATGCTGCATCATGCTGCATGCTACATATGTATGTACGTATTCATAATGATATTTCTTGCTGAGAATTCACTGAGAATGTCTGAATTTCATCACTAACTTGCGGAAAAGCAAGGCAATGCAGCAACCAAATTACTGTGTATATGCTCTGAATGGATCAAGAGTTCAAGAACCAAAGCGATTTGTGGGCCTCAAAAGGACATGTTCAGCCCCATGCCTCCAATACCATACATTATGTCTACAATGCTGCATACATAGTCTTAACTCATACTTTACTCTGTTCAAAATCAGTCACTTTACGGGTTCCTACTTATGCATGGCAATGCACTCTGATTAGGGTTTGTATTGCTTCTGTTGCTTCTGCTTAAGGGAAGCAGGTTTGCAGCAGAAACGGGTGGAAACGCGAACGGAAGACCAATCCCTATGTAGACAACCTGACATTTGCAGGCAACGAGGTGAGCAGCGCTCAAAAAAAGGCTGGGAGAAAGGTGAACGAGCGCAAATTGCGGCGCGAATGTAAAGTTTGTTTGTGGAGCCTTCCGCTTTGGCTTTTGGAGGTTGAACAGCGGGGTCCGCTCACCACCAGCCACCTGTCAGTGTTTGGACCTTGGTTGCTTCCTGGTGTTTGCATGGATTGGCATTTGCAGTTCGATCCAATCCTGCCTGTTTTCAGGCGACATCTTGATGTCTGCGAGCACAAGCATGTGTGGCGATGGGTAGAACTCCCAGGAAAAACAAGTGCAGCGTGCTGTACACCGGTGTTCAACATTGTTCAACAATTATGGATGATTACCAGCAACACTGTGTGCTTTGAAGGTGCATCAGCTCCGCAGTTTAGTAAAACCCTGCAACCCGTGTCAACCCATCAACTTTATGATTCCCATGCCAGTGGGAGCAAATAAGAAGCATGTGTGCTCGTAGTTGCTGCTCAAATTTGAATTACAGTAAGTGCTTTTGAAGCGTGGGCAGGGGGTCGAAAGCATTTCTTCCGGGAGAATAACGTTGACTAGTTGCACCACCACAACCAACCTAGTGAACAAATTGGTGGCAAATACATTTGAAACCTGGACTTCTCCTTGTTGGGTTGGGTTGATTGTACGGGTTCGAGCATGCGGACTTTTCCGCGCTGGTTCAGAAAAGGGCTTCAGATGATCGCCCTCTCTGGTTTGGTTCCTAGATCATAGCCAAAAGGTCGTGAAAGTCGTGACCTGGCCAAAGAACTTGGTACTCTTCTCTATTTGTGCGGGCATCCACACTCCCCTAGGTGTTCACACCTATTCGGTGCCGCCCTTCGCTCAAAAGATGGCCTTTCAGGCCCCTGCTCAAGCCCTTTCAAACTGTACGAAAAAGGGTGTACCCCCACCAAGATTCGAGGTGAGTCCCCCTTCTGCCATTCCTTTCGTCGACCAAAATGGTCTTCCGCTTTCCGATCACGGGCCATGCCACCGTCATCCTCCATCGCCCCCACTCTTCTTCTAGGAGGACCTTGGCTTCAAAATCGTAGAGCTTCTTTCGCGGCTGATGGTGAACCCTGATGGCCACCTTTCTTCCACGCTCGTGGTCGATCAAGTACTCCCACGAATCCTTAGCCGCTGTCCTCACTGGCGGAGTTGAGATCACCTTGAGGACCGCATCGTTGATGAACCCTCTCTGGGGTCCTCAAGTAGTCCCACGTTTCTTCTTCATGACACCATTTCCCCACCACCACACCCTCGTCGATTGTGGTCACCAGCCGAAGGGGTTCCACCCTGGGTAGCGTGCTCTCTGGGCGCTCCCTCGGTGACTCTGAGTTCCCGGTGGCAATGGTCTCGACTCCGGTCAACCCATGCCCATCTCGCTGATCGCCATCTCCTCCACTTCCTCGAGCACCAGTATCCGAGATCTGCCCCGATCCCAACCCATCGCCTGGGTCGTGGGAAATGAAGTGCAGCCCCTCGGAGTCCAGCATCACCCAAGTTCCACCGTGGTTTCGCCTATAGGCCCTCTTCGGAGCATCATCCTGTCCCAAGCTGCCGGCCTCAAACCGAGTTCTGCCCTCCGCGCAGTCTCAACCTCATAGTCGTAGGCGCCACGTCACGATGATATAGGTCTGGATCGGGTACTCGATGGTGTCCAGCTGGTTCAGGTCGGATCTCCGTCCTCATTCTCATAGCTCTCACTGAAATGCGATCCACTGGGTTCCTGGTCCCCGCCTCCTGGTGGTGGTTTGGGTCATCCGGTTCAGCCCAGGGATATAGCTCATCGTGTGCTGAATAGCCAAAGCCTCGAGATCCTTTGGCTGTGCTAGACAGTTCCTCCACACAGTTGACCTCAAGCTCCAAGATCCGCTCAATGACCACCTGGGCTATCCGGTCACCCTTGTAGATCCTCAAGTCCACGTCCGAGTGGTTGCGCAGCAGGACCTTGACCTCCCCCCTGAAGTCTCTGTCGATCAGCCCGGCTCCCGTCTCGATGCCTCGGATCGCAAGCGATGACCTTGGGGCGATGCGTCCATAGCTGCCCGGAGGGAGCTCAAGAGCGATCCCCGTCTTCACCAGCACACTGTCTCCTGGTTGGACCATGGTCTCAATGGTGGAGTATAGATCCAACCTGGCTGCATGCTCTGATCCCCTCGTCGGTAGTATCGCTTCTGGCGACAGCAGCTTCACCTTCAACTCCTCCTTCGCCTTGAACCATCTCTTCACTCCAGCCGTGCCGACCCTGAAAAGGATGTCCCCAAGGATCGCGATGGCCGCGGTGAGAAGGACCAAAATCCTCCTTCCGGCTGAGTGGTCTCTGAGGCCTCCACCCGATGGACCATGCTGGCGACTGCCACCAGCAATCCCAGGCCCTTCGCAAATCTTGGGTCCGGTATTCCACTGTTCAGGTCGACCTTCTTCACCTTCACCTCAATCGCTCCAATGCCAAGGGTCTTCTTGAAGTTCTGGAGCGCCTGGCCAGTGAGCTGCTTCGTCATGCCATCCGCGACCAGTTGAGTCCCTGCCACATGCTCCAAAGACACCTCCCTCGATCTCAAGGCTTCTGTGAGGCCTGCTGCTCTGATCCTCAGATGCCTCGTCCTCCAAGAGGAGGTAGTCCCTCGATGGCGATGGCAGCAGTAGAGTCGGAGTGTAACCTCAGCTGGACTCCCTTCCCAAGCACTGCCTGCACCAGAGCTCCTGCTGACCTGGCGTTGACCAAACTTTCCAGCATGGACATGAGCTCTGCCTCCGCTGTTGAGAGTGTCACAAAGGCCTGCCTTGTGGTGTGCCAGGCGATCGGAGTGCCTCCAACGCAGACCACAATGCCTGTCAGGCTCTTCAGGTTCGACGAGGCATATGAAGCATCCGAAAACACCTCCACCCGAGACAACTCATTCGTCTCCGATCTTTCCTCCTCACTGGTCTTCCCGCCCTTGATGAAGAGGCACTCATCCCGGGTCTGTCTCAAGTAGGCCCTGACCTGCTTGCCGATGTCCATCACTGCCTTCGGCTTCTTAGTCGACCACTGGCACATCAGACTCACGGCCAAGCAGATGTCAGGTCGAGTTCGTCCAGCTACCCACAGGAGCTCCCCTGTCTCCTTCTGCGCTCGTGTGATGTAACTTAAATGTAACTATTTTTAAGTTCTATATGTTCTAATTGGTGATTTTTGATGTTCAAAAACTATGTTTTTTCAGGTTTCCCAGTAGCAAGGCCCAAATCGAAGGACATCGAAAAACTATGCTTTTTACCTGGGAAAGCGCTGCTGTTGCAAGGTTTTTTAATGTAGAACACTCACCGCGCCGCTTTGCTGAAGAAAAGCAAAAAGCAAAACAAAAAGACAAAAAATGCGTTTCGAATTTCTTCGGTGGACCACCACCGCGCTAAAAGAAAAACACTTTCTACTTTAAACCATCAAAACGCATAAGAAAAACAGAACACACACACAATGACCTACATCTGTGTGTTAGGAACACGCTGGGCGGTGGTCCGTCCAAAAAATTGAAGGCGGTGGTCCGTCCAAAAAATTGAAGGAGGTGGTCCGTCCAAAAAAGTTGATGGCGGTGGTCCGTCCAAAAATTTTGATGGCGGTGGTCCGTCCAAAAAGTTGTGGCCGGTGCCCCAAAAACGCGGTGCACCCTGATGAACAAGAGGCTATATGTACAGTAGATGTACGGTAATGTATGGTAGATGTACGGGAATGTACGGTAATGTACGGTAGATGTACGGTAGATGTACGGTAATGTACGGTAGATGTACGGTAGATGTACGGTAATGTACGGCATGTACGGTAGATGTACGGTAGATCTGCCGTACATCTACCGTACATCTACCGTACATTACCGTACATTCCCGTACATCTACCATACATTACCGTACATCTACTGTACATATAGCCTCTTGTTCATCAGGTTACATCAGATCTTTTGAGGGACTGTGTGTGTGTGCGTCTTGCGATGCGTCACGGACAGGCAAGGATCTACGCGTGATCCAGCTTAATGGCTTCTAGTCGTTCCATGGCCTACATAATGGATTCGTTGCACTATATTCTACTACGTGTGCGTGTTGCATGTTTACGTGTTTCTGTGCGCAAAGTACTACTCTGTCGTACGGGTGGACCACCACCCCACAAATTATTCACGACTAAAACATAAAAAACAATCGCGCCCATAAAACCAGAAAAAATGTTTCCAAAACAACACAAAATACAAAGATTTGCTAATCAGTCTCAGTTCTACACAAAAAAGAAGAGTACACAAAAAAAACATTAAAAAAACGCTTCTCTGCAAACCCGTCCACAAAAACATAGTTTTTTCAATGCAAAAAACCTAAGTTCCCTAAGTAAGTTGTAAGTGATTTAGCACCAATTTAGCACCCTCCAACATAAACTAGGATAACTTACTTATAGATATCGAAAGTAATTTGCAACTGCAACGTAAATACCACCAAGAACTTAGAACACTTCACAATCTTAGACCAGCTTACAACATCAGTTAACCCATGTTATAACATATGTTACGGCACTTTACAAGTTCTCCAACTAGGGGGGCCCATTGCTGTAATCCTCTGGTGCATGCCGAGGATCACCTCTTCGGCCCCAGCGATGATGATGTCGTCGACGTAGGTGGCGCAGAGCCCCATCATCTCCCAATCGCTGTCCTCTCCTCGGCAACCATAGACTCCCCAGACATCCTCTTGGGCTGTCTATCCTCCTCCCACTCGAACTTCTGGAGGCAGCGGTCACGGTGGAGACACCAGGGGCGGTTCGACAATCACCACGCCCCGATCAGCCGAGTCATCCACTGGAGCATTCAAAAAAGGCAGTTTTCACATCCACCGTCAAGACACTCCAGCCTCTGGTGGCTGCGATCTTCAGCAGCAAGCGAACTTCAGGGCCTCCTGCTCCAGAGGCGAAGGTGCTCTCCTCACTACGGGACTTCATGTAGTTCCCACAGGCCACCGCTCTGCGTTTGTGCCTGCCTGAGCCAGCCTTTCGGCTGAAGACGCCCTTCGCCGGCAGCAAGTCGAAGGTTCTGCCAGAGCTGACTGCCTCCTCCTTCGGCTCGGTCATCCTCTCCCGGCTGATGGGCTCAACTGCCTCCGACTCAACTACCAAAGCTCCATACTCGTCGCCCATGGATGGCTTCCATTCTTCAAGGTTTCTCCGGACCTCAGCCAGACCCACCATCCTTGTCTGGAGGAACTCAGCGGCTTCCTCGCCTTTCTTCTCAATCTCGGCGATCATGGCTTCCTGGTCCTCCCGATTGGCCTCGACCGCTGCGCATCCAATCTCCTCGATCTCGGCAGTGAGGGCCTTCAGGAACCGTTCATTGAGGATCTCCCCCAGTCTACGACCTCCGCCTTGGACTCCACCTGCAAAAGCTTCATCTTCCCTCGGGTTCGACCCGGTCTCTTCCGGGGTTGAGGATTCTCCTCTCTGTCCTCCACCTCGTGGATCAGTCCGACCTCTCTCTCGGGGAGCTCGATCCCCTCGGGCGGTCTCCAACCTGGATGATGTCGCCGGTGTGGAACAGCTTGCCTGTGGAGCTCCTGCACGAAGTACCCTGGAGTCGTCATCGACATCGTAACCGCCGGGCAGAGAACTCTCACCTGCGTCCTCGTGGTCGACAGGTACTTCTGTCGGTCACTGTATAGAGCTTCCTCTTGGCCCACACGACCTGTCCAAAAGGCACTAGCTCTGTCGCCAAAGCTAGCTTCAGTCCCGGGGCCCATGCCGACCATCTCTGTCGGATCCGCTCATTCAAGTCCTCTGCCAATGCCGTGCCTCCCCCCACTCTGATGTCCTGAAGCTTGGCCAGCCTGGCGATGTTGGTGCCCAGCCTCGTTGGCTTCCTCCGAGCATGTCCCATATATCCTTGATCAAAGCTGACCTCCATCATCATCCCCCACCGGTCTCGGAAGGCTTTGATCCACTTGGGCCAGCTCCAGTACGACGGGTACAGCTGCCCTTCCTTCTCCTCCGGCTTGACGTACTCCTCGGGGTCTTCAGGCTGCTCCAAGGCTGACAGCGTCGGCTTTGGGCCTCGGGCCAGTGCTGCTCGATGATGAAGATACAGCTGGCCAAGGAACAGGACCGTGTCATCTTCCACCCACCTGCTTCCGAAGATAGCGGTCCAGTTCAAACCTGTAAGGCCCCTTTTTCTCCCGCAGTGGAGGTGGTCCTGGCTGCTTGCACCTCAATCTGCTCATCGTCCTGCATGGGGGGTCCAACAAAGTGCAGACCGTACCGCCATCAGCCAAGTCGAGCAAGTAGGAGAAGATGTCGTCACGCAAGAGGTTCATGCCCTGGTCAATGACCGTGTCGATGCACAGCACCGCTCAACTCTCCCCCTCCAGTTCTTTCTGCCAGAACTTCCGAGAATCTCCACTGAAGAGATGGATGATGACCTCCTTGGCTTTCCTGACCCGCCTTCTCTCATGCCGATTCCACGGCAACCCTTCGCCCGTCCACCCCTTCTTCGGAAGCAGTCGCTCCAAGATGTGATGGGGTACCTGTGGGAAGAGGTTCTTCAGCTCCGTCAGATGCCCTGCTTCTTCCGGATCCACCTCTAGGCCTATGTCCTCACCAGCCAGATGGGCGAACCGTGCTCTTTCTCGCACCATGCTCCTCTCAATCTCCTGGATCAACTCGTGGGCCAGTGCCTCGTCGATAGTGGGGCACGAGTTCTCCACCTTCGTGTCCAACACCAGGCCCGTCGGATCTGTGAGCTCGAACCTGGCCTTTTCCCAGACTGCCTCATAGCCCAGCGAAATGAGGACACCCAAGGGCACGATGACCTGCACGTCCTCCTGCGTCAGCAAAGTCCGTGTCCACGGAAGGAGCCTGAGCACTGCTGTCCCAGCGGCCAACTCCACATTGACCTCCTGAGCCCTCAGCCACTCTTCTTCCGATGCAGCTTTTCGCAAGCAGTGTGTTGCCCCACCATCAAGAAGAGCTCTTCCACCTTCTCTGACTTCCAGGCTACTAAGCCTGCTGGCCTTCACTGATGGTGCCGGCCTCAAACTCTTCAGCAAGGTTGTGGCTTCATTCAGAAGACCCTTCACATCTCCCGATGTCCCAGCTCCTCTTTCGCTTTCACTGCAGAGGCCCTGATCCATCACCTCCCCAGTCCCGGCCTTGACTCCAGACTCCGCTGTCTCTGCCTTCACCAGGTTGTTGAGGTTCTTCTCCTTGGTGGACTTGACAGCCTGCTTCTCGGGGGACTCCCTGTTCCTGGGCTTCAAATTGGGACACTCTTTCTTGGAGTGTCCTGTGCCCCAGCAACCAAAGCATCTCCCCTTTTTCTCAAGCCCCGACCAGTCGCGCTTGAACTTGCAGTCGTTCCCCTTTCTGCAGCCATCTTCTGTGCCCCAAAAGCGACATATCCTCTCTTCCTTCTGACCCTCCGGTCTTGTCTTGCCAGTGCCCTTCTCCACCTTCTCCTCCGCGACTGCGACCATCGCCTTGACCTTGGTCACGGGTGTCGTCACCTTGACTTCCGTCTGGGGCTGCAGTTCACTGATCGCCAAGGACTCGGCCTCTGCCGTCAGCATGTGTGACATCCACACCCAATGCCGCTCTTGTCGAAGAAGTTCTGAAGGCCGCTTGACTCGTCGCCTTCACAACCTTCTCGGACATCTTGTCCAATGCTCCAAGCAGCAGCGTCGAGTCAGGTGTCGCGATCTCCAGCTCCTGAGCCCGCTTCAAGCTCCTCCGCCATCCTCTCAATAGCTCCACCGTCTCCGGGTTCAACCAGTTGGAAGCAACCTCGGACGTTCGGCCAGTCCTCCTGGTTGATACCTCCGGAACAGAGCATAGGGCACTTCGACCGAGCTTGATGCCCGATTCGCCAGAATCTCTGACCCGATGGAGTTCGGCACCGCGTTGAGCAGCATCAGTTGCCGCTCTTTTGTAAGCGGTTCCAGACCGTGGTGCACTCTCTTCGTACCTGTGGTTTGATGTGGAGCCGTTGAATCTGAACTGGTTCAGCCCGGAGCCAATCCCGATACGCTGCCATGGCCAGCTGCAGAACTTCCTCCCACCATCTCCACGAGGTCGCACTCAAATCCCACATAGTCGGTGAGATGAGCTGAATCCAGTCGCCCAGCACTAGCGATCCCTGCAGCTCTCCTTCACGAAGTTTCTGAAGGGCCGGCAGTTCGACCGACCTGATCACCTCTCCCCAGCTGCCCTCATGGCTTCCAGTTCCCAGCTGTCGAAGCACCGACTGAGCCGCTTGCTCTAGAGGCGAGCCCTTTCCAAGATCTCCGTCTCGAACTGCGCAGTCTGGTAGGCCTCCGCGTCCAGGTCCAAACCCTCCAGCATGTCCTGGATGTTCCCAGATGCTCCTTTGGATCGTGACCCAAACATCCAGTCCCATGACTTCCAACCTGAAGCGCCCCAAGCCACGACTCTGGTACCGGAGGAGGTCCTCGTCCATCCGGATGACAATCTCCCCAACGTCGTGTCTCTTCCTCCACACTCGTCTTCTCCCCCACAAAACTCCGGGACCGCTGCAAGACGAGGTTTCCCTGCTCCACCTTCTCTCTCTGGTGTTCCAGGGGGCGGACCCTGTGGTGGACTCGGCGGTGGAGTTGTCGTTGGTGGTCTGGGGACTTCCACCTTGAAATCCCGAGACACCTTCTCCTTCTCCTTGGTGGAGTCGTCGATCTTCTTCTTGAGGTCCGCCAACTCTCGCTTGAGCATCGAATTCTGGTTCATCACTGCCTTCAAGACCTCTCGTAGGTCCACGGCTGCGTCCTCTCCTCCTGAAGGTCCTGGGCCCGAGGATGTACCCGTCGGTAGTAGTGAAGCTGGCCTCATCGCTCGGAGCATCACTTCATCCTTCAAGGTCTGACTCTAGAATGGGTTGACGTCCAGGGCGACATTCCCAGCCGCGGTGCCACCCGTCCCCTGGCCTTTGCCATCTCGCCTCCGATCATCACGTCGTTGGGGACCATATGTAGTGGGTGGCCCCTCCGCCAGTGCCAGCACCCCTGAATCACTCATTTCCGGATCCAGCCTCTCATCTTCAAGCGCCAAGATGCCGGTGTCCTCCTTGGCGCTCTCCATGGACGACCCTCCCTCAGGGGATTCCACCCCTCCAGCCGCTGCGCTGCCGGCAGCCGCTCTCCGCGACATGGCGGCCAGCGACCTGGGCCTCCGCTCGAGTGCTCCAGGGTGGACTTTCGGAGCTCAGCACGTTGGGCTCATAACCTACGGGTTCGAGCATGCGGACTTTTCCGCGCTGGTTCAAAAAAGGGCTTCAGATGATCGCCCTCTCTGGTTTGGTTCCTAGATCATAGCCAAAAGGTCGTGAAAGTCGTGACCTGGCCAAAGAACTTGGTACTCTTCTCTATTTGTGCGGGCATCCACAGATTGATGCCGAAATCAATCATCTATGTCCTCCCTTCCAGGTGCCGGACCAAAGACTATCCAACCTTTGGCATGAGCTCAGTTCTGAGGCAGAGTGGCCTTGACTTTATTTGCTACTGTCCTGATATGTGATACAGATATATATATATATATAGAGTTACTTATAGTTATATAGTTTGCTTACTGAAGACTTTCACACATGTTCACTTCCAGGATTGCAATATACTATATGTTATATTATATGATTGAAGCCATAAATCCTAACTGCTGTGTCCGTTGAACAATACCTTGCTTGTTTGCAGGAACGAGCCAGAGTGGCCACCAACTTATGGGGAGCCAAAGCATAGTTTTGAAGACACACAGTTGGTGTCGTCACATTGCATCATTGGCAATGGGCTACAAGAACTTACTGTAATTGCCGAAGATTGGGCGAGGTCGAAACTCATGCCGGCGGACAAGCGGTTCGACGTTTCTGCAAGGCTTGGAATCGATTTCATTCCGCTCACTTTGCGTTGGGCTTCTTAATTGCCCAGAGATGGAACTCTGAGATAAGGATTTAGAGACTAGTAATTAGGTTGCAGGCCATCGCTACTATATTATCAGGAAAGTTAGCCGGTAGGCAGGGCTTGAGGTTGTTGGAGCGAACTAAGTGAGTAAAGGGGGTGCGGGGGGGCATTTTCGGAGAGGTGAACCCAGAGCCTGGTGGGGGAGAGCGAAAAAAAGAGGTGGGCCACTTGGTAGTGAAAAATGAGTGGTTTGAGGGGTGTTGTGATGCCGGTGATGTAATTGATGGCGAAGAGTGCATCATCAGCATCACGAGGGGCTCATGAGGCAAGAGAATAGATTGTAGTTGTGGCTAAGCTCAGCATTGCTGCCGGACTGAAGAGGGCACTCCCTATGCGGTGGGAGTTCACGTGGATTGGGGCTGTTGAGGGATGCCATCTGTTGAGGGCCTGTGAGAGAACCGAACTGAAGAGGGCACCCCCTATGTGGTGGGAGTTCACGTGGATTGGGGGTTTAGGGCAGGAGAGAGAAGAGATTGTAGTGGGCGAGCGTTGGAGGCGGAAGGTCATGAATAGCTTAGGGGTGCCCTTTTATTTGTAGCAAGGTTTAGTCGCTGGACTGAAAATGGCACTCCACCTGGGGTGCACGATGCTATCGGTTGAGGGCCTGCGAGAGAGCCGGACTGAAGAGGGCACCCCCTATGCGGTGGGAGTTCACGATTGGGGGTTGTTGAGGGCAGGAGAGAGAAGAGATTGCAGCGGGCAAGCGTTGGAGACAGAAAGTCCTGAATAGCTTCGGGGTGCCCCTTTCTTCTCCGTAGCGAGCTCTAGTTGCTGGACTCAAAAAGGGCATCCCATATATGGGGTGCATGATGCCATCTGCTGAGGACATGCGCAAGAACGGCTTGCAGCGGGTAAGCAATGAACTCCACTGGGGTGCATGAAGCCATCTGTTGAGGGCAGGAGAGAGAACACATTGGGCAAGCGTAGGAGGTGAAGGTCAGTGGGCAAGCGCTGGAGGCAGACCACTTGGAGTTGTTCGGTTGCGTGGTAGTGCGACTACAAGGGTGCCCCTTTTCCCCTCCACAACGCCCCGACATCGAGACGCAAAAGGGGGCCCGTCCCAAACCTCTGTATTCTACTCTCTATTTCCATTCTTTCTCGAGTGACGGCCTGGCCATATCCACTTCACCACTTCCAGCTCCTCCTTGTCCACTCTACCTCATATATAAAAAAGCACATATATATAATATATATATATATATTATTTTTTCCTCGCGAAAGCCTGCCGATAGCCTCGCCCACGACCGTCTCTGCTCACTCATTACCAACACACAGCGACGAACTCACATAACATCTTTGAGGGTAATTTTTCACCTCGACAACACTTCTGAACCCAGACAAAAAAGCCTTTCCCCTTTTTTCTACCGTCTATTTCTACCTCCTATAGCGTACCTGCGATGCCAACTTCAACCCCATACACGTACTCTTTACAAGATGTTAGCCTATCATTTCATCTTGCACACTCACGTCGCTCAGATATCAACCTCACCACTTCCGGCTACTCTTTGTCCACTCTACCTAATATATATATATATATATTTTTTATATATATATATATATTGTATATATATCATATATATAATTTTTACATATATATAATATATTTCCTCACCTACCCTACCCATAGCCTCGCACATGAACCCCCGCTCACTGATTCGCAACACGCTGCCGGCAAGCGCGCCTCACTTCCTGAGGGGTGCCCTTTTTCACCTCTCCCTGAACCGGGGTGAAAAAGGGCACCCCACCCCGGACCTATGTCTTCTACTTTCCATTTCTACCCCCTATCAGTGTGGCTGCGATGTCGACTTCATCCTCTTGCGCGCCAAGTCCTTGCCCGGGCCTACCCTGATAGCACCCCCTAAGCCAGAGGCTGGCTTTCGTCTCCTCCTTTCTCAGGTATGTATATATATATATATAGGTTGGAGGCCATCGGGCCATCGCTATTAGGGGGAGGCCATCGCTATTAGGTTGGAGGCCATCGCTATTAGGGGGAGGCCGCCCTGCAAGCATGTTTTTGCATTTTGTGCTTTCCATGCAGGAGATGGCGCATCACGTGCGTCCAAAGGAGTGCAGAGCGAGCGAAAAGGCCAAACGAAGTCTTGGAGCTGTGCCTCGGCTCCAAGCAGTCTAAACAAACAAGCGTTATACAAGATTATACAAGGTGTCAACAAAAGGATTGAGGTGTCGGAGTGGTTCTGGGTGATGATTATTTTATAAAACAATATTTTACACTCTTGCCTGATGCGAGCTGCTGTTCTTGGTTGTAGAGTTTGGCTCCAGAGATCCAGGGGTGTGAAATACTATGATGAGATGATGTGATGTGCTCTAATTTGGCATCCATGACGGGATCTGACAGTGTTAACCATGTCGCTTGCAGGACTCATTTGCTCTTTTGATTTGAGACCAGTTTGGTACAGTAGTAGTCTAAACTTTAAACGGGGCGGAGGTTCCTGGTGCCAGCACGTTGCTCCTCTTTAAGCAATGCTTATCCGCTTATCCTTGGTCCAAGGTGTTTATGCTTGACCAGCACTCACTCTCCATTTACAAGGCAGGGTGCTTGTGATGGGACGGCGATAACACAGTAGAGCGAATGTGATCTGACAATTGAACAATACAATCAATACAGTATTTGTTTGCACCTCGTTGCTGTTTCCAGCCAAGTTGCTGCAAGAGAGAGAGAGAGAGGGAGTGACCAAGAGAAGTGCAACGTGTTCCACGAATCAGTTTGGAAGCAATGTAGCCATCACAAGGCTGCTGTGTGCCAAACACAGGGAATCATGCTCGATTGAAACATTTTGAAACTGCACAACCGGAGTCAAAAGCAGCTCCATTGTGACCCAACGCAACACTTTGCTTGGAGATCAGGAGATGTTTGTAGTTGCCGTGGAGCAGAACGTTCCGTTGGCGATCAACATGCAGGCTTCAGCTACCTGTTTTTCACCTGTAGACAAAGGCGAGTGCCATTCAAGCATCAAGCAGAAAGCACGATGCAAATTGTCACATTGAATTAGAAATTGCAAGCAAGTCCCTTTCTCGGAGGTCGAAGTTGTTTGTGTAGCCTGGTTGAACGGCCAGGTTATTGAAGCTGTAGATGGTGTCGTGCAGGAGAACTTTCAAGTTCAAACTGCTTTAAGATGTGTTATTTTGTTTTCCTTTTTTTTCTTGTTTTAAAGTTTAAAGCCCGCTCCTACTTAGTTAAGTAGGCGCCTACTTAGTTAAGTAAGGGAGAGACTTGTTCGCTCCTAGCTACTGACACACTACTACATATGGATTCAGGATAGCTCAGGCTTCTTCAAGGAAGCTCCCCCGGCCTGAGGGCACGGCGGAGCTTCCTTGAAGAAGCACTCGCACTAATGATGTGGTTCCTTGATTTTTAGGGAAACTTAAGCAACAAAAATATTTAACATAGTGTTGTGTTGCTAGCTTTCTGAAGCTTTGACCATGGTCTTTGCTATTAGCGCCACAGAGTGCAGCCTGCTTTAGGGAGTAAGTTCAAGAGTCAGGAGTAGTCAAGAGGGTCCAGGGTGAAACTTCTTGAATAGATTACCCAAGTGAATAAATTCAATCTCCTCTTGCCTGGCCTCCCCTCGACTCAGCTGTCATCCTGTAGTATCGCATGTTATTGGTTGAGTGAGCTTGTGTGACTCAGTTGTATTTAACGTATTTCAACTTTAGCTCGATCTTTCATGTGAAGTCATATCATGCTAGCAATGAGATAGTGACAGCGCATTGCCTTTCCTTTTTTGGTTCGACATTCCTGACCTTTTATTCTGTGGTCACATCAACCCACAATTTGCAATCTTCCCTAATCTCTCAACATGTACTCAGCCTTTTCTTTTCAGAATTGTTCCCTGCCTCTGCTCATACTCTGGGCTTGAAGGTAACGAAAGCTTTGCCATAGTTTATCTCGCTGTATTTCTCAAGTGAAATAGGAGAAGAGGGTAAGGGTCAGCATGTGGTATTTCCCAGACGGGCCAGCTGCTCTGAAACAACAATTCCAAACAGACCAGTGCGTGCAAAGTGTTTCTATTCTAGCCAGGACTTTTGTGCAGCACGTCGTCAGCATGAAGGTACGCGAATTTTGGTCTTCACCATCGGTGCAAATGCTTCTGGCAAATGCTCACAAATCTACTTGATGTTGGAACACCATCATCGTGCCAAGTTTTGACAAGGAAGCTATAATTACCATTAATTACCCGTTCAAGATGGTATCGTGCGTTTTAACTTCGCCATGCGTCCAGGTCGCCAGTCAGGTTATTTGGATCCACGACAGTTTCCTGAAGGGTCCAGCACTTATCCACGGTTTCTTGCGCACATGGAAGTCATTTAAAGTCGTAAGTAGTTTGGCAGTTTGGCATTTCACCTTGTGAAGCTCCGAAAGGTCCGACCTATGGGTACAGTGCCCCGGGTGGAGACGGTCCAAGTTTGAAGGAACACACGATCAGACTCAAGTCTTCAAGGCTCGAGGCCCTTGAGGCTTTTATGGGTTTTATAATGTTTTATATGATGTGGTTATCCTTCTTTTGTTCTTTCGTTGTAGAAAGGTTTTGTAAAGGAATAGGAGAAAGATGATATCACAGTATGCGCAGGTACAGAGAAAGAGAACATGTGCGATTGATGTGGATGCCACTTCCTCGCATTAACACCACTTTGCGAAAGAGCAAACAGTTCACTACAGAGAGACCCTGCAAAAGCTACTCTTGCTAAGGTCAACAATGGCCAAAGTCTTTGAAATTCGATTGCTCCAGCTTTGGGAGTGCAGGTAGGAACTTGAAAGACGCAAAACAATGTGCAATGGTTCTTATGTATATATTATCATTATCCCAAGCCCAAGCCTCTGATCTAAATAGTTTGCCAAACACTTAGCACATCTCAGCACGCATTACACACAACTTACCAGCTTGTGTTCCGTCGAGCAAAGCTTGCCTGTGAAGGCATGGTGCAGAGGAGCGTGAAGCTGCTCGTCAGGCATCTTTGCGGGCTGCCATGGCAGGGAAGCTCAGTAGAGATATGCTGCGTGCCATGATACCCCGCCGAAACCTCTGCGACTCTACGGCCTCATCATTTGGGCTTGCATAAAGCCCCGCTGCTCGTAGTTTAAAGAAAAGAGGTCCCTAGTATCCAGAGTTGGTTTGAAACCTTATAGGGACAAGTGTAAAATAAATTGGCAATGTGACTCAGTGACGTCTTCGTTTGTGCCTTATGCGGCATGCCCTTGGCACACAGACCATATCCTTGTCACCTGTTAATCTGCTCTCGGAAGGTGCAGCGGAAGCAAACTCGAGAGAGTTAAGTTTAGGTCTTAGGACCGACAAAACAACAAAGCGATGACTTTGTTTTTTAGACCTCACGTGTGAGGCCCCTGTCCACTTTATTTGCAGTGAGAGTTGCTGTAAAGAGAGCACCAATTTTGCAGCTGCCTTGAGGATGAATTGCAGGTTGCGGTTGACAGTCATATTACCACGAGTGCAGAAGGCAATTGGAGATGTTTCACATTGCCCAAGCCCTGCAACACGATTCAATACTGCAAGAGCCAAACAATATAGACCCGCAATGCTTTTTGGGACTAGCGATTTCATACGGGATTTCATTGGATTCTTTACACTCCCCTTTGTCGGTGTGTGTGTGTGTGTTAGATTGTTTAGCAGCACCTTAGAATCATAGGTTTTTAGGCTGTTTGTGATGTTTTTTGTTTTTACACGTTTACCCTATTTACATCTATTTACACTTGCAATTTAGCAGGGGCAGACTCTATTCCACTGTTGGGGAAACGGAGGTTGATCACCTCCGTGTACCTGCGGACGGTTGTGGCGTTTTTTACTACCTCCTCCTCCTCCTGTAGAACCAAGGCTGTTTCAGGCAAGGTACGTAGGTAAGTCGTTTGTTGGATTTGCTGGAATTTGGCAACCTTGAAATTCACGATGTTTGGACACCCATGGCCCATGACTTCGCAGTTTTCCTTCCACCAAGTTTTTTTCAGGGCATGTGGCAGTCAAGTCGCTCGTTGTACGTATAAACATCAATCTGTCTCTCTTCGGAGAGCCCGGGGTGAGCCTCAAGAGTGCCCTCGGTTGACAGACCGAGCAGGTAGATGCCGTCTGTTATTGTAACCGTACCGAAGCGTGCTTACTGCGGACAATAGGAGCTTTATGCAAACATCACAGCAGGCTGTTCTCATACTATCTTGGGAGCAGCCCAGGACAGGAGCAGCCCACACTTTGGCGAATATGGCCACAGTGGCCAGAGGTTCTTTGAAGATCCATGTACTAGCCTTAATCTTCTCTCTCTCTTTTTGCGGTGTATCCCTGGACGCTTGGATCGCAGCTGAAGGCACCTGACATTGTTCCCCACCTGTCAAGTGAGGGTTGTTAGATTTTATGTCAGCTGCCGTCCTCCTCCTCGTCCTCCTCGTCCTTCTCGTCCTCCGCCTCCTGCTCCTCCGCCTCCTCCTCGCAGTGTTCCCCGCCGGACCCTCCGGATGGCAGCGTTCCCCATCGGCAGTGTTCAGTGTTGCCCGCCGGACCTCAACCGCCAGCTCCGGATGGCGGCGTTCTTTGCAGGACCTCAATCGCCAGCTGGAGGGTATGTTCCCCGCTGGACCTTACTTAACGTTATAAAAAACTTTCATATGGTAAGGCCAGAATCCGTGATTTTAAAAAAGTCGAAAAAAAGGTCTAAAAAAAGTCAACTGGAAAAGTCAAAGTCAAAAAAACAAATTGAAAAGTCAAAAAAGGCAACATGCAAAATAAAGTCGAAAAAAGTCAAAAAAGTCAACCATGGACCGCAGCTCGAAAAAGGAAAAAAAAGAAAACGTGAACAAAAGTCAAAAGTGTGGCTCCTTGCCTTGGCGGATTACTGGAGTCAAGAAAATATAAACAGGTCAACCACTCGAAAAAGTCAAAAAAACAGCAAAAAAACAAGTCGAAAAAAACATCAAAAACAAGTCGAAAAATGTCAAAAACTTCAAAAACAAGTCGAAAAAATAAAAAAAATGATTTCCTGAAATTTTCTGATTTGACTTTTTTTTGACTTTGACTTTTGGGATTGACTTTTTTGACTTTTAAATTTTAGAAAACAGGCTCTTTCCAATGAACGTTTTTTATAACCTTAACGGCAGTGTTCCCCGCCGGACCTCAACTGCGAGCTCCGACTGGCAGTTCCTCAACTGCGAGGGCCGCGTGGCAGTGTTCCCCGCCCGACCTCAATCGCGAGTTTTTTTGTGTGGACCTCAACCGTGAGTCAGAAGATATGCCAGATAGAACGCTG